CGATCTGCGGCGCAACCCGCTCTTTGATGGAGACATAACCCTGTGATCGGGACTCAACGGCGGTACTACGCGAAGCTATTGGACGGTGACCGAAAGAGAGGAGTCTTCGCCATCAACCTGAGAATACTGCCGGGGTCCGTGCTAGAAGGAGCGAGACGGTTGAGAAAACAATAGTTGTCTCGATTCACATATCTTGATATGTAATCTTGTTCATTTGGGGTTTTCGAAACGCACTTGGCAATTTGGAGAAGGTGGACAATAGGTGAGGACATGCCTGAACGCAACTCCAATTTCGTGGACGTTCTAGGTTAAACTTTACATGCCTACTAGTACCGGAGTATTCCAAGTCCTACTCCCTTCCCTAAGTATGTATTTGTTCCGAAGGGGCGACATCCCGACACAGTTAGGCACAGTGACCCGAAACGAGACCGAACTTTCTATCCGCAATTCTATGGTATTGAGGAACTCACAAGCTGTGGCAACTCATTCTTGCTTCTCCGAATTTCTAGACAAACAGAGCCAAACGGAGCGCTACCACAGGCGAGCTCCAACGTCGCGGAGAAGGACAGGGCCCGTCAAATGAGTCCCACCGTGGCAACGCGTCGGAGTTCGTCCCTTGGTCCGCTATTGGACCAGACTATCGCGAATGGAGTCCACCTGCAGGTGCCCTTGTCGATTACCGTTGTGCCGAACCCATGTCGGAGAAAATTTGATTCACTGAGAGGGACATGTGGAAGGCGGTTTCATATCCAATGAGTGAGCGGTTTTCAGTTTGATCTTTTCGGCAAAGCAATAGGCAGTTCGGGTATTATCTGACAGCGGCATTCTCGCCAGCGCCAAGACGTGTCCAATTTGAGGTTCCTTGGTTGATTGACAGGACTAGGAAACTCAAATAGCAACCAGATACTTGATAAGATAGTGTGGCCGAGATTACAGGAAACACGAAATGGAGTGCAGCATCTGAAAAGCGTTGGAAGGAATGTTGCGTGCCAGGCGGCGGCCCGCCCACTAGTTCAGCCACCTGCAAGCACAAAGTGAATTTTCTTGTGGTACTCCGTACTCCGTAGCACAATTCATATGTACTGAGTGGTTAGGGAGTATTACGTAGGCCATCCCCTCGGCTCCCATTCATCCAGAGGCCGAGCCCGAGACACATCATGGATTAAGATCCGCCTTATAACGTTGTGGCCGTGCACCCTTGCCGTCTCGGCCGGGGGCTTCCGGGCAGCCAAGGGATGGCGGGCCGATCCTTGCAAACGCGAGTTGGGTGAGAACTTCATGAAGTCTGTGCAGTCTGATGATTAGAGATTGACAGGTGAAAAGGCGTGGAAAACAAATATCAAACAACAAGGCTCTAAGACCAACTTACTATTCTTCTAATGTTTAGTGGTTTGTAGCAACCTATGTTGCCTGGGACCATTGAGGGTGTTACCAAACTACTTGGGGGTCTCTCTTCCCAAAAAGAGCCGCATAAATGTGATCGTGAAAAGAAAAACAAGAAGATTGCTGACGCGTGGTATTGCATGACCGCGAAGTGAGTGTGTTAGATCACCATTGTGGCATTCCTGATGTCCGTGGTTTTCATCGTATGCATCGCGACCACGAACCGTGGCAGTAGCAATCCAGTCTAGGGGTACTCAATATTATTCGGCATCGCTCTAGGCTTCTGACGACTCTCGTCACAGGAGCTCAACTTAGCAATCCGCTTAAACTAATCACAGTCGACAGCGGTCTCATAATCAGCACGTAATCGTTTGGTAGGACTATTGGAATCTCGACCTACGTTGTTCTCTTCAACGAGGGCATGAGCCACATGTCCGCAAACATTGCCCAAGCAGTCTCACTAGCATGTTTTGAAGCTGATTATTTTGTATCTCTTTCCATAGCTCTCAATTCTCACAATCAGAGCGCAACCACCCCTGTACAAGGTGCCGCTCATGAGGTTTCCTCTCCCTCTCGATGGGTACGCTTGTGCTTTCAGAAATGTCTGGATCTCGGCGAGTTATTTCGTTGCTCTGGCATCCATCGACGAGTGCACTTCAGGCTCGAGGTTAGGGCCTTAACAATTACCTATTGACTTATGATTACAAGCCTCTGCCTTCCATTTTAATCCCGAGAAAGACTTCAACAATCACGTTAATATCCCTTTGGAAAAGAAATGGATCCAGTGTCTGTGGACGAGTACCCTGATTATGGGTGAGGGCTCACCACATGTAGGCCTGTCGATGATACACGTTGCTGCCTCCCATTCATCGACGAAGAACATCTGTTGCGCCTCAAGTTTTTCACATGCCTACATGAGATTGCAGTGTTGTTGGACTTAAGCATGGTGAACCAACCTCTTCCTGGGTGAACTCAAAGTCATAGATGCCTCGTACAAACTCCTGAAGACTTGGAATTTTTAAAACCGTCTGAGAAGCTCTTCTTAACCCAATGACTTCATTTTCCAGGTTGAGTCCGCATCAAATGACTAAAGGCTTGTACTTAGCCTTAACATGTAATAGTGCTCTTTGGCTTACCGTAACGCCGAAAGCGGAGTAGGGCTTCGGGAGAGAACGCCGACGGACGAGGTGCGGGGATCGCCCATCTGCAGATGTCCGGCTTACCTCAACGATTGACTCACTCTTGGCAAGTAATTCTAGAGAGCTTATGTGCCGGATAACTGGAAACCATCACTGCGACCCATTGGCTATCCATCAAGTAGTCAATTGTCAGAATCACATCGTGTTGACAGTCAAACTTCAGTCACCCCTAAATTATCTGGCCGACCAACAAAATGAGCGCAGCTTCAATCATATCTTCAGCGTTACACCCCCGGCTGGGATGGATAGGTGGGTGCACCTACTTGTTCCTGTCTCTACCTAAGCTTCGTGCGCATGCTGACGAGTCGACAAGGTCTCGGGTCAATGGGTCTCGGCATGGCTACAAATTTGCAAAATCATCTCAAAACGCACTTTGCCGGAAGCCTCCAATTTCACAATCGGACAATGTCTCGAGGCGCTCCCTTAGAGAAAGCCGGAGGCGCGCCGCAACCGAACATCATTGACCTTGTCAAAAACACGGACATTGTGTTCATCTCACTCAGCGACGACAAAGCACTCGAGGCGACGTTGGACGCAATCCTAAACGACGCAGCCACAGCTGATCTATCAGGTAAGATTATTGTTGACACCTCAACGGTCCACCCCCTGTCGTCTGCAAAGGCGAAAGACAGATTGGCAGCAAGGGGAGCCCAATTCATTGCTGCGCCGGTGTTTGGGGCAAGCCCAGTCGCTGCGCAGGGTAAGCTGCTCTGGATCATCGCTGGACCCGATGATGCCGTGGAGAAGATCAAGCCGTTCATCGTCGGCGTCATGGGCAGAGGCATCATCTGTCTAGGGGAAGACGTGCAGAAAGCCAGCATCATGAAGACGGCTGGGTGAGTAGAAGACGTCGAACAATGCCATCAGATATGATGCAATCGTGCTAACCTGCCGCAGAAACTTCGTGACCGCGGGAATGATGGAGCTGGTCGCAGAGGCCCAGGTCTTTGCGGAGAAGTCCGGACTCGGTAGCGATGCAATGGAGGATCTTCTCGGACAGCAGTTTGGACCCTTGGCTCAGGGCATGTCAAAACGCCTGACGACTGGTGCTTACTTACCGCCTCGTGATGAGAGGCCGTGGTCTGACTTGTCCCTGGCGATGAAGGATGTCGGGCATGGTCTGAGCTGTGCGGAGGAGGCCGGTGTACGTCTTCATATCGCTGATATTGCTGCTGGGCATCTGAAGGAAGCGAAGAAGATTTCAGATACTCAAGGGCGGGCATTCGATTCTTCTTCATTGTATGGGGTGGTGAGAACGGAGGCCGGACTCGATTTTGAGACAGACCTCGTCAAGAAGAGAGATGGCTCTTCTTGATTGAAATCGTTATACTTTACCATGTATATATATCGGTACAAAGAAATAATTTCCACCTGATCACCAACAATGGCATTTAATGTTAGCGAGCCGTCAAGTAAAGCTGGGACCAAAATATCGAAGAAAGTCTACAAAACTCAGGCGATGTCGATTCAATCCGGTCTTCATAGCCACGCACACGGCGAGGCAGTCCGTTCGGCAAAACAGTTTTTCACTCATGAAAGTAGAAAGTTGAAAGTAAGGAGTACAAAATTTTGAAAACTTGCCTCGATGGGGTTGATGCCGGTGTTGCAGGTGCTGCAGGTGCTGTTGTGGTCCTTTGCCATCCAGCAGTGGAAATATCGATCTTGATCGGGGTTCCTTACTTGACTACGGGTGCCATATTACGAATGTAGAAGGCAGTAGTCGGCGTTATAGATTTATAGAGGATATGGGACTCAAGGTTTCCTCTAGCAATCGATTGAATATATACTGCAAAATGTATTTGTGGATGAACGACTGTTCAAGGGCATCTACAACTTGGCTGGAACGCTCTGTCACTATTTCCCATACATATAAATTTAGTCAGAATGAATCATCCGGCACCATCCATGTGTCAACATCTGTCGACTCGACTTGACGAGGGGCTATTGGGGAAATTTGGGTTGGGTGTACAAGATGAGAGCAAGTGAGCAACTATGAATCATCCTGGCCAGGACCCCCCCATCGGCTGTCGCCCAATCAGCGTCTGTCAACTACAGTAGGTATTCGCAAATGGATGAGAACTTTAGGCCTTCCTTCGATCCCGGTGACATTAAACGAGCTATCAATATACATTGGAAACTCAAGAGATAAGTCTCCTGGACGTAGGCTTTATGTGAAGCCGTGCTCAAGTGTGCTTCATTGTGTCGCTGAGAATGCCTTTGCCGGAGTTCACCTCGAGCTACTCCCTGCACAAGTCTAACACGTACTCTTCTGGTGCATTGACTTTTAGGACCTGGAGTGGTCTGTTAAAAAAACCCTTCGGGCGTATCAACACGGCACATTAACTTGTGCATTTGAAGAAATGTAGAAAGTAGACCACAAAATTCCAAGTTCAAGTAACCGTGATTCCAGATGCTCTATCATACGACTTGTCTCGGCATCTCCTGAATAGGCGCCACTTCACCGCCCCGATTCACCACGGTCATGTAAATTTTGCGACCGATTAAGGGTTTCTCCGCAACCAAAACAGGCGTAGGTATTGGAGGCCCGTCACCCCAGCCGCTTGACAAGCTAGAGTTACTTGAGCTGGTGGAGCTTCGCCAAGGAATGATCAAGGATTCCTGGGAGACAGTTGAGAATGTTTGCTGCTCCGTAGACGACATTGGTGACAGTGTGGGCGCATTCGATGGTCTAGAAAACCTTGACATCATCCCTCGCAAGGAAGTTGTCCTCGGTTCCTTTCTCCCGATATACGGAGGGGGAGGCCAGCTCTCCACCCGGGCCTGCGCCATTGCTGCATTTCTCTGTCTTCGTTCTATTGCGGATTGGAAGAATGCAGGGATCGCATAATTCGCTTGCGGCTTCTCCTCTCGCGGTCCGGGTACGGCATCGGTTATGACGGAGGCGCTCTGATCTAGTGATTGTTGCGTTTGTGGACTTGGACCCGTTCCTATGGCATATCTGCTAGATGTCGACGAGTCGCGGAGACCTGATGATCTGGGAGGTGGCTGGCCAAGGGATCGCTGGATCGGAGGCGGAGGTGGAAGTGACACCATGGGGGGATTAGAGGTCAGCGGGGGAAGACCAGGGCCTTCAAATCTATCAGGCCTGTCCGGGCGAGGGGGAGCTGGTGGTTCTCCCATGACGGATTTCGTTTTTTCATTTCTACGGGCTTGACGGCGACTCCTCCACCTCCTGAAAAGAAAGAAGCCTGCAAACAGACCGAAAAAGGCTACAAGTCACCGGCGCATCAGTCACTGCTTTTATTTCTGCTAGTCTTACAGATATCTCAGGTCTTAACTCACCGAGAATCAGAAAGACGATCCCAGTTGTCCTACCAGCGTTGTTCGAGCTGGTACTAGCTTGTGTAGGCGGTGGTGACGCGGTTGTTACCGGGGCACCAGCCACTGATGAACTAGTTGTCGGTGATGAACTTGATGGCAGTGGAATAACGCTGGATGATAGCGTCGATGTCTCTGCCGCAAGAGGTGTACTAGATGTCGAGGCATCTGTCACTGGAGGAATTGTGGTTGAAGATAGAACAACGCTCAACGTCGATGTTACCAGGGTTGATGGCTGCGGTGGCAGTGGTGGTAATGGGAAAGGGGAAGAAGATGGAACATTTGTTGTCGATGAAGGAGGAGCGGGCGCACTACTTGGTAAATTCGTAGTAGTTGCCGATGGTTGTGCTTGTGTCTGGGTCGCTGTCGCTGTACTATGCTGCCCATTTCTTGTTCTCGTGCATTTTTTCTCATCGTCGTCATCATCGCAATCGTCATCCTTCTCATCTGGCTCATTCTCATTTTCGCTGTCTTGCCTCGCTTGAAGAGCTTCCTTGCTTACGGTATCGTCTCTCATCCTTCTTCTAAGTAACTGTATTGTTCTCGTGAGTCGAGACCTCTTGATAGGATCCAACCTGGTCGATTTTGGGTTGAGGGAACTTGAGATCGCACGAACCTCGACTCTGAGTGAAGACATTATGACAATTAGTCACTATGACCCAAACATACAGTTTTTTTCGGAGTGTTTCCACTGTCGACTTCTTTGAATCGATGTTTGTCGGCGTCTCCTTGATCAATCGCGCCTCTATCGGTTCGCAACGTACATGTCACAGGCCTGCTGCACATGAAGTCGACCTAGAACAAATCAAAGTAGAGAGCATGGAATTTTGACTTGGCGAGACATCGATTACTTGGCCTCCTTAAAGCCCCTGGTGAGCATCATCTTGTCGTTTGCTTACAGCGGAAAACAGCGTTGGGCCCTGGGCGATTGTTTCAAAACTCAGCTCTACCGGCTTCCGGGGCGTGAGGCGGACCACGGAAAGCTTGTTTTGGAGCCAAAAATAATCTGCCGTGAGTAATCCCCGCCCAATACTACGCTCGTGTTGATGGCAGTATCGGATTGAAGAGTTGGGGTTGTTTCACTGCTAGGGACCCCGCATAGCTCCCGCGTCTTTTATTTGACGGTGACATAGCCCCTGAGGTCTCTCCAACAAGTTCCCGCGCCTGGCCTCACTATAGAATACGACATGACGCGGGGACGGGTGTAACTCGGTAAGATGAGAGACAGCTGAAGCTTGATCATGAGGCTCTTAGTGATTGATAATGGATTCAGATGAAATGCCGATTGAGGTGAGGCGAAGGCCTTTGGTGCCGTGCTCCGAGAGTTTGTGCGCACCGTAAATGTGTTTTACCACTCTGTCTTATTCCTTCTGCATGCGTTCTCAAGTAACATAATATCATTGTCAATGATAATCAGCATTGATACCGGACTCATGATCTCGTGAGTCAATCTTTTAGCTTTTGTAGGCTTACACACAGCAGGAAAAGGCTGTCATCCATACACGACTTTGTCTTTCCAAGAGCTTCATGACTTGTTCTGATCCTGTGTGAATTGCGGCATAGACCCTAACACATTCTCAACGAATTTGCACCCGAATGTTGAATACGAGGAAACCTCGCAGGCTTCTGGAGGAGAATACAACGGATATAAGCATGGCACCAATACAACGGAAAGTGAACAACTCGAAGTTACATGTATGTCAAATTGAACATGATCTGCAAAGCTTCAATCTTCAGTCGTGATGTCACCTATCATAGAGTGTTGCACACTGAAGGATAGTATACTCTAGGTCATAGAGCCATTGTTTCAAATCTCCGTTCACGACTTACTCCGTTTCCTCTGTCTAATATCAAGCACACAGATTTGGAGGAAAGTAGATCGAATATGAATTGTTGCTAAAGTACAGCTTTGCACGATCCCACCGCCTGCCTTGATACCGTAACAGACAACAGTTACTACTTCCGATCAAAACAAAGTACTCAGCCCAGTATCGCTATAAAAGAAAGTGATATGGCAGCACTGTTCAATTTGTTTCTTCCCTAAACCTGGCCTCCAAAGGTTCAAAAAAGCGAAAGGCCTGCAAAAACCTGGTCCAAACAATGACCGACTTCGACGAAAGAGCCTAGTCATCCATATCCGTCTGACCGGGGGCATCTACGAAACTTAGCATCATTCTGTTCATACGAATAACTGTCTTGTAAAGTTCACATACCATCGTCGTCATCATCCATGTTCATAACGGCTGGTGGTGGTGGTGGATTGGGGTTTGGTGGCGGATTGGGCGGATTGGGTGGAGGGTTTGGCGGGTTCGGCGGTGGATTAGGTGGACTGGGAGGCGGATTGGGTGGATTGGGAGGCGGGTTGGGAGGATTAGGTGGTGGTGGGGGAGTCTGTTGAGGACGGGGTACTGTCTCGATGTTAGAAAATGAAGATCTAGCTTCTTCAAGGAAACTCACGATCATCCTCGTCATCGTCCTCATCTCTTTGAGGAGGACGCGGTGGTGCCGGATTATTATCAGGCCGGGGCGGACCATTCGGTGGCTTTGGTGCTTTGGTACCAGTCAGCAGTGAGATCATGACCAAGTCCTGGTAGTGTTGTTGCGACTCACGATCATCATCATCATCATCCCGAACGAAGAGTCCAGCATAAGGAGACAAATTGTCCCTCTGCTTGACGTGATGGCCCTGAGCGAAGACTTCATGTGACCTGGCCGTCAGAGGTCGAGGAGGCAGAGCAATAGCTGAGCCAAAGGACTCTACAAGGAGGATCCCAATCAGGGCCTTTTTCCCAAGGTTGAGCATAATGATGAATATGTCTGCGGAAATAACTAGGTTTCTTTGTGGTGCAAGCCTGTTTGTGTAGACATCAGTGAGCCTGAGTCTGTAGATTCGGAGAGGACGGCAATATCCATCCTCTTTATATCTGGCCAAAATTAACAATACTAGAAGGGCGCATGTTTTCTCATGAACAGGAGCGGCTGCGTATATGCCATCATTAGCAACGTTCCAGCTCATACCCCGAAAATAGCCCGGCTTCGTCCTAACGAGGCATAAGTTGACACAGCATCGACGGAGGGGGTCACTGCATAGGGGGGGCTCTCAAAGTTCACAGAATGACGCGAGACGGCTGAGGCTTTCCAGATCGACGAAGACAATGCGAAAGATGAGTGGACGATGCTCAGCCGCCAAGTGAAAATGCCCAGCTTGATGAGTTGACTAGCTCCGTCTGCGCCATTTCGCTGCGAGAGGTGCACGTCATGTCAGTCCGTCCTCGCTTGTGCTTCAGATCTCTGCCGTGTTCATTGGACGATGCAACTTTGGTGGCTAATGTGAAGCAAGGACAAGGATCAGATACGGATCTTACGGAAAAGGGGTTCCTCCCATAGGCTAGCTTGTCTCATGTCTTTCGAGAACTGTTGATGCAAGAATAGTTACCTATCGCGATTTGACTTTCATCTGAGCAAGCACTGGTTCTAGTCTGGATGATTGCGATACGCTGGCACCATCCATATCTAGAAACCATCCCTAGCCGATTTCTCCGTTCAAGTCTAGATACGACGGTAGTCGGCGTCCCAAAGTCCCGGTGCGGAAAGTATTCAAAGCATCAAACAAGTATCATTCAACGAATTTCGTTTCGATCATCATATCTGCCGAGCGATTTCAAGGGCTGGTCAGCCGGCAGATGCTGTTGTGCCTAAAAGCTGGGGTTCTCCCTGAAACGCGACCAGTTGCTTGGCGGCCTCTCATGAGCTTGGAGAACTCTAAAGAGGCCGGGTCAAATGCAGCAAGAGTTTATTCTGGTGGGTTAGTGAGAAATAGTTCTTCGGCCGCTCCCGACACGCAATATGATGAGTTTCTGTCCTCATTCCCATGCCGTTGAGGGAACCCTAACAGCTAGTTCGTCTCCTAGCTTAGATCTTATCAAGTTTGATCGTCCATTTTTCAAGCTTATTTGACTGTAGTAAACAACCTTGTTTCCCATGCAGCTGATGAATTGATGATTGCAGGCTCAAAGTACCACCCAACCAAAGTCTACGATCTATTCAGCAGTTGTCGCCCACCGACGTGACGCGTTGGGAGGCTCATCGCAGCTGCGATTCAACAGCACGGACAAAATTACTCTGAATTCTCTCTATGTATTCGAATACCGTGCGTACTTCATGCGGCGCAGCTTCTTGGCTGATCGCGATCGGCCGAATTAGAGTAGAGCATGCTTAAACTTTCGAACAACGTCAATGTTTCGCTATATGAACAGACTTGCAAGCTACGAGGCTTGGCTCATTCTCAGCTGCAATTACAACATTTGGAGATTCTGCATGGGATGATGGCGAAAAGTCGGGGGCCAGGTGGTCGTTCTCGCCACGCAGAAATTCTGATTCGAGCTAGGATATGGCATCTTGGCATCTGTTCGTCTTTTAAACTTTGAACGATTTCTCCGCATCAGTATGAACTTAGTGCAAGGTCAAAGCAGCTTCCCCCATCGTTTGGTTGCAAGGAAGGTCCAATGATCTTATCTGTGCCTCGATGATGATGGCCGCATTCTCATGTTGTGACTAGCACCGTAGTCTGCGACCCCAGCTGCTGACGTCTTCTCTCTTGTACAAAGTTTGCCTGAACCAAAAATTGCAAAGACTCCGCCTCGCCTTGCCTTGGCCTGGTCTCCACTATCTTCGCCGCCTTGTTCGAACTGATCCCACCGGAGCGATAATCACCAATGCTTGAACAGGGTGTCCAGTACCGGCAGCCCAATTCCTGTCTCGCAGTAAATTGTGTTAACGTTACCAATCTGCTGACCTGAGCCACAATTATTGACCTTCAGAGCGGCGTCAGCCAGGCCCTCAATGGGTCTATCTGCGATGTTTCTGATCACCAGGGCGAGACCAAGAGGCTGGAAGGGGTCCACGTATCCCTCTCTTGCTGCTGAAATCCTCATGTTGAGCCAGTTTGGAATCCCTAGACGTCTGAAGTGTGCACATCCTCCGTTTCCCAGCTCAGTGCTTAGGTTGAGAATGTCGGAATACTTGAGGTCGTTGCTCGCGACGCTCACGATACTCTCAGGAAGGATAGACAGAAGAACGCTGCGCAGACGCACGCCGCTGGGATAGCACGTAGCGCTGTACGGGTTGAGAAGGCCAGTGCCGAAAAGCAGCAGATACTTGAGTTATTCGAAGGGAGCTAGCGATAAGATGGCAGACTCTTCGTCAAGTTCCATGCTGCGTCGAAGGATGTGCATGGTATGGAGTGTCCTTCTGTGTCTTCGCAACAATACCGACATCTCCCTAGGTATGACGTCAAAGGGATAGGCCTCGGTGCCCCAAGATTCGTCTTCAAAACGGTCGTACACGTTGTTTCTTTCTATGAATGAATCTATGAGCTGCTGAGTAGTAAGAGAAGACTTTCAGGGTGCTGCTCAAGTTCAAGATACTTCTCATCTCCTTGGAGCTCAGAAAAACGTTCTGAGCGCCTAGGTACCTGAGTTTCCTTGGCTTAGATAATTCTCTGTCGACCAGTTGGCATCGATCAAAGCAAAGCTCTTCCAATTGAGGGCTGCACAAAGGAACCATCAGCTCTTTGGCCGTACGTGGGGGTAAACATGGTGTATTCTACCTACCTAATAGGCAAGACGTGGACTTTCAATCAAACGATAGTAAGGCGCATACCTGGCACAAGAAGTACTACCCCGTTTCAACTCGGATTTTGTGGTTTGTAACCCACATACCTCCGGGTGTCTGCTGAATTTGGGCTTCATCAGTTCATGCCTGCTGACTCCCTCGTCCCTGATAAAGTAAACACGCAGACTACAACTATCATCGAGATTGCTTAAGGTATGAGAAAGATGCTACCGCGGGACTTTGCCATAAATCGCCATCGTGACTGACTTCATTGTATGGTACCTAACTTGATGGCGTAATGAATACTCACTATATGCGAAGTATGTGTAACTTATAGACGTCTCGTGGATGATTTGGTGCCACGTGCCCACCGGGAGTAGCTTGATAGCATATATTTCAACATCGCTATCGTGTCTCATAGCCTGAGGAACGTCTCTACAATACGCTTTCACGGTGAAAGGTGAGCGGCGGGGGCAGGTTCGGAAGCGCGAGGTCTTAGGCAGGAACGTGAGAATCTGCCATCAAGTGATTGGTACACCAGCTGGTGCCTAGGCAACCTTTCAATGGAACGATAAATATCAAGTAGTCTGAAGTACTCAAAGCTACTTTTAGTTTAGGTGCAGGTGGACTTCTTCATGAGTACCGTCTCGAGTTAGGAATTATTACATGTAAGTTCCGTTTCTTTCGACATGCAGCCTAACGTTGACACTGAGCTTTGCACATTTATTATCGGAGACGGGAATTGACCTATGCTGGCTTTTTGACTTTATGCTAAGCTTTTACTTTCCTTGCCTAGTCAGAAACGCGTTGCCTCCAGCATCGATGTCACAAGACGGCCCCTTCAACATCTGGCCAGCAGTCTCCAATCTTTCCGTCGCTTTGCACAGCCAGGACCACGCTTCCCTCGCCATTCAGAGGGCTTCCGTCCCAGACGACAAAGTCGCCAAGGATAGTGGTCTCTGTCAGTACCTCTCCAGATCCGTTAGGAGCTCGAAAATTGCCATTCAACCCGAGTATCTCATCAAAGTTTGTCGAGACCAGCTTGATGGCTTCTTTGTCCGCCAGCCCAGCGAACTTTGCCACCCACTGCGCCTCCTGGGCCAAACCATGGATTTTGGAGTCGCCTCTGACGGCAAGGGCGACTAGAACACCAGCATCAATAAGTACTTGGGCAGGACTTGGTGAGAGAGGCGGGCCCGCAAGTGAGGATTTCTTCTCCCACCTATCGGGCGCACCCCTGTTTCCAGTCAGAATGACGGGGACCTGAGCTTCGTTGAGCTCCTTCGCGACCTAGGTGCCAATTGCTTCAGCTTTTTGTTCTTCCAAAATACAAACGATGCCTTACCAGAGGAGCTCCATGGCCGCCGAAGATGACAAACTTCACGGTGGGAAATTCTCGCTTCAGGAGAACAATCTGCGAAATATCATCCTGCGACAAGTTTACTCTTATTCAGTGTACTCTCCCAAATATTGGAGAAGAACCGACAAACCTCGTTCACTGTATATACAACGACTGGAAGAGAGCCATGCGCGGCGCGGTAGTACACGCTACTTGGAGATTGGTCTTGGCCCTGTCCCTCAAGAAGGGTTTGACGCAGTCGCTCAACGCCGGAAGACACAGTCGGGGTATCATCGCCTGCACAAGGGTCAGTGAAAAATTAATTACTTTTCATAAGGGAAGTAACTCACCTTTGGCCTCTTGACCAATAGCAAAGTGAAGAGCCACTTCGTCCCGCCAAATCCCGCCTCCCAGAATCGTTGCGTTCTCACTTGTCCGCAAGCCGACACTTACGCCCTGGAGAACACCGCCTCCAAAGATAGGAGCCGTGATCGTCCTTGTCACACCGCCGATTCTTGCTCTGCCGAAGCCCCTTCCACCGAAGTGGACACCATATTTGGCACTATGCAAGTGCTTCTGGGCATCGAGTGCATTAACCTTTGATCCTGGTGATCCGTCGCCTGTTGACGGCTCAGATGAAACGTCGAGAATACCAAGATTATTGCCGAAAGCAATCAGGCCAGGAGTGACGTATCCGTTGGATAGTTTAATCTCCACAGTCCCGTTATGCTGAAGGGTAGATGAACATTTGGACTCGACATCTAGACAAGTGATACGACCGTTAGAAACCACTAGGGCAAGGTCTTGCTCCTGTTCGACGGCTAAGACAACCTCAGGGGGTTGATTTCCCA